TTTAAAAGTAATATTAATAGCACACATTGTGGTGGGGGTGTAGTGAAGAGTAGGAAAAACTTTGATGAATTTACCTCAGAGTGGCGTGGTGGGTGTCGAGGCCTAGTAGCGTGCAAAGCCTGCGGTCTCGCCTAAAATTGTGGGCTTGGAAGAGGCAGGGTACGGGTGGCGTTCCTTCCCCCCCCCCTAGCGCTCCAACAATACTGTGTAATGGCTAATATTTAATTAAATACGGAGCTTATGAAAGTGGCGAAGGCGTGGCTAGCCGTTGGCAGGGGCAACCGCCGTCCAATGAAACTGCAGCCCTTGGCGAAGGCGTGGCTAGCCGTTGCCAGGTCCAATGAAAGCTGCGAAGGCGTGGCTAGCCGTTGCCAGGGGCAACCGCCGTCCAATGAAAGTGCAGTCCACACACACACACACAGACACACAGACATGAACGATTTTATATATATAGATGTGCATACACACTGCTTCATACATACACACACGGGTGCACATGCATACAAGTGCGCATACACACACGAGTGTACATACACAGTAGTTGACGTACAAAGGGATTGCGTTCTACTACACGAACAAATGTGCGAACAAATGATTGTACATACCTGTACACACACATTCACGCATGTTCATATCCACATTAACGAGTGTAAATAAACACACGAGTGGACATACACAGAAGTACAGATCCATGTACATACAAACAGTAGAATACTTAGATAGCGGGGTCTTGTGATTATTTTCACAGGTTAAGCTGACGATATAAATGCCCCACAACACTGACGTACGTTACGCTAATTACAGAAAAGCGTGCGATTCAAATTCCTTCTCTGGTTCCACTCCAGACGCTTGGAATTATTAACAATATTAGGAATTTTGTCCTCATATTTAATGAGTGTATTGAAGCCATGGGTTTAGTTTATTTGCATGAAGTCTTTTTCAAGTTCATACTTCAATTTGCTTGCCATTGCTAGGGCACACTGGTTCGGATTATTCTTCCCATTTACGAAATCTCGCTAGAATCATTTTCTTCATGAACTTATTTGCATTCAATTGCTATTCACGGTACTAAAGCTCCTCATATCTAGCAACATAATTAAGCTCATGTGGCCATTGTGCTTAAGCCTCAGTATTTATATGCTGAATCATCGTTCGCTTCCGTTTGAATAGGGATGGGCATCTCCTTGAATAATTATGTGCATGTTGTTAGTTTGCACATTTACAATGGCCTGTAAACTGTGATACATTTATCGGCTTTATCTGTAAAAATAAGTATACAATGTTGCAATGCTGATGGAGATCATCATCATCATGGCTTGGCTTCGCGAACGAAGATCTAGGAAGGACATCCACGTCTTCTGCAGGCACGCTGGTGTCTGTCGAGGCCTATGCGGGACAAGCAGGTCCTGCCACAACGGCTGCAAGTATAGGTCTGATCTGGGATGGGTGCTGAGGGATCACAGTTCTTCCTCCTTCTCCTTTGGTCCTCCATACGGGCCCTGCGGGTATCTTCGAAGAAGGAGGTGGCCTGGTGGACTGTGTGCTGCCAGGAGTTGCGATCAGCTGCTTGTGTTGCCCACTGACGGTGATCGATGCAGCAAGCAGTGAGGGACTTCTTCAGGGAGTCTTTGTATCGCTTTCGTGGTGCCCCTATGTCGTGATGGCCAGAGGACAGTTCCCCATAACGCACAATCTTAGGTAAGCGGTGGTTCTCCATCCTGGCGATGTGCCCTGCCCAACGAAGCTGTATCTTGAGGACCATGGCCTCGATGCTGATGACCTCCGCTGACTCGAGGACTTCAGTGTTGGCGATAAAGTCACTCCAGTGAATATTGAATATTGTACGGAGGCAGCGCTGATGGAAACGCTCGAGGAGACTCAGGTGACGACGGTACGTGACGCCATACAGGAGAGTGGTCAGTACAACAGCTTTGTAGACGTTGACCTTCACGTCTCTTTTAAGGTTGCTGTTGTTCCAGACACGATTGTATAGTCTGCCGAAAGCACTGTTTGCCTTGGCCAGCCTGTTGTTGACTTCTTTGTCGATCTTGGTGTCAGACGAAATCACGCATCCCAAGTAGTTGAACTGGTGGACAGCTTTCAGTTCTGTTTGTTCAATGAAGATGCCTGGTGGATGGTGCTCCTCATGGGGTGCGAGCTGATGAAAAACTTCAGTCTTCCTCAGGCTGACTTCAAGACCGAAGATCTGAGCTGTTTTTGCGAAACAGGACGTAATTCGCTGCATAGCTGCCTCTGTGTGAGCAAGGAGGGTGGCATCGTCAGCAAACAGCAGCTCCCTGATCAATTGCTCCATGGTCTTTGTGTGGGCCTGCAAACGCCTGAGGTTGAACACGCTCCCGTCGAGACGAAAACGGATGTATACGCCATCAGCGTCGTCGAGGTCCTCTGTGGCCTGCTGGAGCATCATGCCGAACAAAATGGTGAACTGCGTGGGAGCAAGAACACAGCCCTGTTTCACAAGGTGATCTTTAGCTATTGCGGGTACCAGTCTATTCAGCAGTACTCTTGCGAGGATTTTGCCGGCGACGAACAGAAGTGTTATGCCACGATAATTGGAACAGTTTTATTTCTCCCCTTTGTTCTTCTACAGGGTGATGATGACTGCATCTTTGAGGTCTCATACATAAACGCAGAAGTAGATATACACACACATGAGTGAACATACACACACGAGTGTGCACGCGAATGAAAAACCTGATTTTTAAAAGTGATCTAATAGTTTCTTAACTGTACAATGCTTATATCACACAGATGTCCACACACACGAGCCAAAGACAAGTGAACATACACAGCAATGCAAATGCACACAGCCTTACAAGCTATACCGTTAAGATGATTATTACAAGTTGATGACAGCAATTGTACTCTTGATTTGAAGTGTTCGTGACTGCAGGAATCCATACTCTTTGGTTCTTTCGGCAAAGTCACGTAGATATAAAAAATAATAAAATAACATATCACGACGTTTCGATCGCAACACAAGCGGTCGTCCTCAGGCATGAAAAAATAATCCAGCTGGATAATTGTAATAATATATCATAACGAAACTTCGTGATATATAATTTTTACTTTATTTTATTATTTTTCTATCTACGTGACTTAACCGAAAGAACCAAAGAGAATAGCAATTGTAATCATTTCCGTGGATTGAATAGAACAAATCACCTTGGTTGTTTTGATGCACCCATATCAAAACGAGTGTGTTTAAATCTACTGAAAAAACAAGGTCAGACGGTAGAAACTTCCACCTCTTAGACCAAATCACCATTTTAATACTGGCAGTAGTTTGCAGAACATTGCAGGTTGAATATTAAAAAATCTATCTTTATTTGAAGCTGTCGTGACTGCAGGAATCAGTACTCTTTGGTTCATTCGGTAAAGTTACGTAGGTACAAAATGACACAAATCACGACGTTTCGGGCGCAACACAAGCGTCCATCATCAGGTGGGAAAGCGTGGTCTGCTGCTGAGGCAGGCTGTTTTAAAAGGTTCGAAATGGGTGTAGCTCAAGGGTCATAAAGAAGTGGCCGAAGATAGTGATGTTAATGTGAGAAATTAGCAAGTAAATGTAAGTTAGGTGAGCGGCCTCCTGAACGAGGGATTAGCATGATGTTGATGTGATAGATTAGCATGATGTTGATGTGAGAGATTAGCATGATGTTGATGTGAGAGATTAGCATGATGTTGATGTGAGAGATTAGCATGATGTTGATGTGAGAGATTAGCATGATGTTGATATGAGGGATTAGCATGATGTTGATGTGAGAGATTAGCATGATGTTGATGTGAGAGATTAGCATGATGTTGATGTGAGAGATTAGCATGATGTTGATGTGATAGATTAGCATGATGTTGATGTGAGAGATTAGCATGATGTTGATGTGAGAGATTAGCATGATGTTGATATGAGGGATTAGCATGATGTTGATGTGAGAGATTAGCATGATGTTGATGTGAGAGATTAGCATGATGTTGATGTGATAGATTAGCATGATGTTGATGTGAGGGATTAGCATGATGTTGATGTGAGAGATTAGCATGATGTTGATGTGAGGGATTAGCATGATGTTGATGTGAGGGATTAACATGATGTTGATGTGAGAGATTAGCATGATGTTGATGTGAGGGATTAGCATGATGTTGATGTGAGGGATTAGCATGATGTTGATGTGAGGGATTAGCATGATGTTGATGTGAGAGATTAGCATGATGTTGATGTGAGAGATTAGCATGATGTTGATGTGAGGGATTAGCATGATGTTGATGTGATAGATTAGCATGATGTTGATGTGAGGGATTAGCATGATATTGATGTGAGGGATTAGCACGTGAGCATGAGAGATCTAAGAGAGAGGCATAGAGAGACACAGAGAGTCGAAATAACAGCTGACATAGGCAGGTTGGATGGAAACATCACAGTCAGTTAAGACTTTTCCTGGTTAATAACGTCCTTCCAACGATTGCTCAGTTTGTACCCATCCTCTCGGTTAATACCGCGTTTTTTTAATCTTTGGTTCTTTCGGTAAAGTCACGTATAAAGAGGAAATAATGAATAAAATACTAGCATACGCCGTTTCGATTGCAACACGAGCAATCATCGTCGGGTGTAAATGAAAGAGAAAACAAAACTGGTATACTTGGAAATACAATGCAATACAACACAGAGAGTCGGCGAACACAACAGTCAACACCCTACCTGGTTGATGACGCTCTTGCAGAGAATGCTAAATCTGAAGTGAAGTGTGAAATGTGAAAGTCACAGACGCGAAGACGCGCGGAGTGAACCGTGACGGACTGACAGCCACGGGATGGCTGAGACAGCCTCGACGTTTGTATTCGCTGTGCGGCGTTGTATGACGTCACGTGCCGCGCTCGTCTTGTTTCAAATTACAAATGACGTCACGGGGTACATGACGTCATCAGCGACCGAGTGACGTCACGCGACGCGGGCGTTCGTGGGGGGGGGGACAAAAAGGGCGGGAAATTCGCAGCCGCAATGGCGGCGCACGGAGGGGAGAGGGAGGAGGAGACGGCGGTGAGAGCGACTCCCTCGCCTCCGTCAGCGCGATCAGTCCACCGCCTCACGACCCCTCTCTGTCTGCCTCTCTCTCTCTCTGCGTGCGAGTCTGTGTAAGGGTTCACGACCTGTATCCCACCTGGAGGAATCCGATGAGCCGTGAAGCTCTTTGTCGCACCCCCAGTGACCCGTTCTTCCGCTGCGGTGGTGGCCGCCTACCCAGCAGCCCGCTCCAGCCGCAGTGGCCGAGTCTCTGCTCGCCGCAGGCAGGGACAGCAACTTGGCGAGCAGCTGCGGTTGGCTTCGTCCCCCTCCTCCTCCTGCTGCTGCTGCTGAGGGGAAACACGTTCACGACTCGTCTCCTTGGTTCTTTCGGTAAAGTCACGTAGAAGGGATGTAATAAAATAATAAAAATAAAACATAATGAAATATTATATTATTATGTTTTGTTTTTATTAATAATATTATTATTTTATGATGTTTTGTTTTTATTAATAATAATATTATTTTATGATGTTTTGTTTTTATTAATATTATTTTATTATGTTTTGTTTTTATTAATAATAAAAATAAAACATAATAAAATATTATTTTATTATGTTTTGTTTTTATTATTTTATTACATCCCTTCTACGTGACTTTACCGAAAGAACCAAGAAGATGAATCCCTGCAGTCACGAAAGAAGCTTTAAATCGAAGTTCACGACTGCTGCTGCTGCTGCTGCGATGGCTGCTGTGGGAACGCGGCGCTCCAAACCTCCTCCCCAGAGACGCGGACGGCTGCTGAGCAGGAGACGAACTCTGCCCTCCGTGGCCCCGCGGTCGCAGTCAACTTTCGCCTTGAACGCAATCGGTGGGAGTGTGTGGGCAGAGCCGTCAACCCCTGAGCAGCGCCCCACCTCATCGCGGGCCCGTTGGGACCCACAAAGTCCCAGCAGATGGGAGAAACACTAACACATATTATAACTGGTACAACTACTACTGTTACTACCACATTTTAGTGTTATAACTAGTACAACTACTACTGTTACTACCACACTAGTATAACTAGTATAACTACTACTGTTACTACCACATCGTAGTGTTATAACTAGTATAACTAATACTGTTACTACCAAACTAGTAGTGTTATAACTAGTACAACTACTACTGTTACTACCACATCGTAGTGTTATAACTAGTATAACTAATACTGTTACTACCACACTAGTATAACTAGTACAACTACTACTGTTACTACCACACTGTAGTGTTATAACTAGTACAACTACTGTTACTACCACACTAGTATAACTAGTACAACTACTACTGTTACTACCACACTAGTGTTATAACTAGTACAACTACTGTTACTACCACACTAGTATAACTAGTACAACTACTACTGTTACTACCACACTGTAGTGTTATAACTAGTACAACTACTGTTACTACCACACCATAGTGTTATTATAACTAGTATAACTACTGTTACTACCACACGAGTAGTATTATAACTAGTACAACTACTACTGTTACTACCACAACGTAGTGTTATTATAACTAGTATAACTACTGCTGTTACTACCACACTAGTGTTATTATAACTAGTATAACTACTGCTGTTACTGCCATACCGTAGTATTATAACTAGTATAACTACTGCTGTTACTAACACCGCAGTGCTATTATTACTACTGTTAGTACAGCACTACCGCTTAGCCGCATCACACGTGTACACTCACGTATATACTCGTACACACGTGTACGCTCAACAACAACAGCCGCCATTCCCCACTAAGTGGCGGTGGCGTCACCAAGGTGCCAGGCTAGGTGCACTTGAGGCCACGTGAAGTGTCGAAGGTTCACTGACACGAGGTCACGGGACACACCCAGATGCCATGGGTTGACTGAGATGCCTGGTGGATGCACCAGCTGTGTCCTTTACTGCGCCAACTTGCTGCATTTTAGCCACCCAGCACTCCGTTCATTGTTGTGAGCGCCGCTCCTCTGCCCGGAGTTTTTTTTGGAGTGCGACTGCCTCCAACTGCCCAGTAGCGTCTTTGACAAGCCTCCTCCATAGAGGTCGATCTTGACACCGCTGGTACCGATCTTGACACCGCTGGTACCGATCTTCAGCAAGTCCACTCAGCTCCACATCCTCCCGTACTGCATCAGTCCATCTCTACTCCAGCCCGCTTCTTGCACCTTTTAACCTCTCTAACTGGACAAACAGAAACAGCTTGGGCATGAGGTGGTTTGGCATGAGGGCTACATGACCTAGTGAATGCAGCGTTGCCTGCTGGAGGAGCTCATTGATGGGACTGTCGCGGTCTTTCACGGATTTGTGAGCTCCTCACACAATCCATCCTGGTTAAACCAAGGATGGATCGTAAGCAGGCCAGCCTAAATCTCACCAGCGCAGATGTTCCATGAGGGGTCAACATTTCACAAGTATAGATAAGGAAGGGCATGACTGATTGAGACGATCCAAAGCTTCGTGTGGAGTGACAGTAGCTTCCACACAGCATTAGACAGCCGATGAATAGATAATGCCGCCTCAGCTGTCAAACCGGAGCTGGTCATGAGCACACTGCCCAGATATAGAAAAACTCTCCACTTTCCACTCTACAAATGCTCCATTGTATAAAACACAACAACCGCCATTCGCCACTAAGTGACGGTGACGTCACCACGACGCTTGTGCCAGGCTATGTGCACCTTGAGGCCACACACACGTGCACACTTGTACATTTACACACTTGCACACACGTGCACACTCGCACACATGTACACACGGAAAGACAAAGGTCTTGTAGCCTACACAGAATATTAGGTCAAGTGCGCACCTATCAAGGAGGGCACTGTACACAAGGGAGGTGGTGTGACCAGCGCCATGGCCGGCCGCCTTCGTCTCCCCCGTGCTGACGTTCACTACACGCCACACCAGGTTCTCGTATTCATCTGAATCTAAGTTGGTAAATTTGTAAATGCGCAACTATTATAAGCCAGGTGGTCACGAGGAGCGCACAGGGAGATGGTAATCGGTTCTGATGTTTGCTGTCGCCATTCTTAACCGCGAGTTTGACTCCAACTTGGCTCGCCGGGTCAGTAGCGAGGTGCGCTATCCGCTACGTGATGCCGCGTCAGTTTCTGTCACAGTTGTTGCCGCTACTGCTCGTACCCGTCGCCCTCATCATTGTCCTCCCCGCCATCGTTGTTACCGTGCAGAGACCCGGAATCCCGTCTGGCGGCCGCCCACAGCAGACGTCCCCTTCCAGACCCTCGCCGTGGCCGACTCGCAGCGCCAGCGCCCCGAGCCGGCCTCCCTGAGCTCGCAGGAGGATCTCGAGCTTATTACAGTTGGCCAACTCGGAATTGGAGCTGGGGCAAACGTCTCCAAGTCAGCAGCCTCTCACCACCGGTGTGACGGTTCAGAACTGGTTTCTACTGCATTGCACACAATACCTGCTTGACCACTTGATGTCCGATCACGGCCACGATGCACCACTCCACTACTCCTTACGCAATCATCTGGCTCGACCACCTCTATCAGAGTGGTCTACATCGGCCGCTTGTACTGCCACCCATGCGCCCACCACTCGCTCTGCCTGCCTGTCGATTGCCTTCAACCCAATGGCTTTGAATACACCACACAATCTCATTGGCTTTGAGAGAGTAAGCAGACCTGGGTTTAGTGCTTAGATGGGAGACTCCCTGGGAATACCGGGTGTTGTGGGCTTAGGCCACAAGGTAACTAGTCGAAGGCGTACATGGATGGATTCTTGATTCCATCTATCCTTATCATTGAGGTGCATCCTCTTCGTATTCGTGACGTTTTACTTGGTACCGTTTCCTCCCACATGCACCACTCAATGCAATTGGCCAAACATTCCAATGTAGCAGGAGCCTCCTGATAATGTCTTGAGACTCAGTAAAGCTCTCCTGCTTGGTTTCCACCACGCGAACGACTGCGGCTGTTGATCGCACAGCTCCCACCGCGACGATCCCCTCCACGCTGTCCGTGGCTCCCCCTCTCACCGCAGCCTTGCCCAACCGCAAGGTGAGCTGTGCGACTGCTGCCAGTAGTTGGTCAGCCATCCCATCACCTCGCTCCACCCCTCCATGATTTGTAGCTGCTGTCGGTCGCCCCCCCCCCCCCTCGTTGCCACCGCAGCTTCCACTTCACCTACGGGGTTGTTGACCGGGACCCCGCCTCCCGGGGCTGACTGAAGGCGGGTCTCCTCGTCCTCTCCTTCGTCAAAGGTCATCTCAGGTGGGTTCTTCCCTCGGTTATACCGTGACATGATGGTACCCCACTTCTGACACCAGTTGTAATGACCCCAGGAGACACGTTTCTTGTCGGTGATCTTCATTGAAGGCACGAACACTTGACAGGCGAAGACACCGGCTTCAGCAGCCCCGAGCCTCTCGTTTTCGACACGTTTTATCCTATGCGTGGCCATCCCTTAACCCGTGAGCACGCCCCCTCTCTAGAACCTTCTCGATGGCTCTTGGTCCTTGATCCACACCTGCTCCCTTCTGTCACTTGGCCACAGCCTTATTCTCGATCCTTCTCGTAGACCGCAGATCGTTCACCCTGTCTATTCATTAACCTGTCATTACACCCTGTGACCGCTAGTCCCCTGTACTGTCTTTACACATGCATTCATCCATCCAATCACAAAAAACTAACTTACCAACTCAGTCATCCACTCACTGATCTATTCACTCACGCACCGACTCACTCAGAAATTCACTGACCAACCCACTCATTCAATTTCTCACCTACTCACCCACTCATGCACAGATGTACCCACTCACCCACTCCCTCACCTACTCATACTCACGCAGCCACTCGCTCAACCACTCACTCACACTCTCTCATCAACCCATCATCACTCATTCACCCATTTATCTACTCAATAATTAACTCACAGACTCACTCCCAAACGCACGCAAAAAAAAACAACACGAACACGTAAACACACATACAAAAACAAAGACCCCCCGTATAGCCTTAACAGATTGTTGGGGGCAAGTGCTGTTCATGAGCACCTACAGTATGAATACCAGCACAAAACACGAGGGTGGGTGGCCAGCACCACGCACGGCCGCCTTGGTCTCACTAGTGGCCATGTTTTCACACCATTCTAGGTACTCATTTGAGACTACACTACACACTCACTCGCACAAACTTACTCTCACAAACTCACACACACACACTCTCACAAACTCTCGCAAACTTTCTCACACTCAATGACTCATTCAAATTTACACAAGCTCACTCTCACAAACTCACGCACAAAGACATACATTCCGTGTATGGGATTTACCGTATAGCCTGAAGAAACTGTGGGTAAGTGCTGTTAGAAATCACCTAGGGTTCAGTGTTACTCACTGACGCTCCCGTAGAGTCCAGTGTTCCTCACTGACACTCCAATAGGGTTCGGTGTTACTTACTGACGCTCCCATATAGTTCAGTGTGACTCACTGGAGCTTCCATAGGTTTCAGAATTACTCACACAAACATCCATACTCAGAGACCCATAGATTCCAACAGACATCCATAGACTCCAACACACACACACATAGACTCATACAGAGACCCATAGCCTCACACAGAGATACAGAGATCCATACATTCAAAGAGACCCAAAAACTCACACCGAAATCCATAGATTCGTACAGAGGCCAATAAGAATAAAAATAAAAAAGTATTTATTTTGTACTGAAGGAATCTAACGAGCAATAAAGATATTTTTCACAGATGAGCAGTCAGGCGGGTCAAAATGTAACAACAAAAATAAAATACAAAACACGACAGGAGAGGTAAACAAATTATTTACAAATATACAAATGAAACTAAACAATTTTTTTTATCTTACCACGGCTAAACCTCGAAACACCTAACCCTCTAAACCTATTACCCTCTAAACCCATAACCTTCTAAACCATAAAACTCTACCCTTAACCCTCTCATCCTCAAAACCGTAACTTTCTAAAACTCTCAATCCCTAACCTAAATCCCAAACCATCAAAACCCCAACCCTCTGAAACACCTAACCTTCTCTAAACCCGTATTACCCTAAAATACTAACCCTCTCAACATCTAACTCTTTAAACTCTCAACTCTCTAATCCCCTTAATAAAGGGTTTTGGGGGTAAGTTCATGTAAATGTCAATGCGTCATTACACCCACAACCACCCGACAGCCAATTAGTACATTTTATCACGTGACCAAAAAATGACAATTTGTTTCTACTTTAGAACACCGCTGTGTTGGAGACTAACAAAAAAAAACCTTTTATTACGGATAATATTAAGTGTAGGTGTTAAACCCTCTCATCCCTGGCCCTCTAACCCCTTAACCCTTGAAAATCCTCAAATCCATAACCTTCTAAATCCCTAATTCCCTAAACACCCCGAAATATCTAAACTCATAAACCAATAACCTTATAAACGACTAAACTCCTAAACCTCTAACAATCGAAATCCATAAACCCTCGACACCTCTAAATACCTAACTTTCTAAACCCCCTTACCATCTAAAACCCTCACCATCTAAAACACGAACCCTTAAAACACCTAACCCTCTAAACCCCTTTACCCTTAAAACTCTAACCCTCTAAACCCCTAACCCTCTAAACCCCGAACCCTCTAAACCCCTAACTATTTCAACCCCTAACCTTCTAAACCTTTAAAAAGCAACCCTCTAAACACCTAACCATCCAAACCCCTAACCTCAAACTCTAACCTTCTAAAATGCTAAATCCCCAACCTTCTAAATCCCATCTAAACTCCAATCCTCTAAACCAGAGGTCCCCAACCTCCGGGCCACGGACCGGTATCAGTCTGTGGCATGTTAAGAACCGGGCAGCACAGCAGGTGAGCGGTGGGCGAGCGAGCGAAGCTTCATCTGTATTTACAGCCGCTCAACGCTCGCATTACTGTCTGAGCTCCGCCTCCTGTCAGATCAGCGGCGGCATTAGCTTATCATAGGAGCGCGAACCCTACTGTAAACTGCGCATGCGAGGGATCGAGGTTGCACACTCCTTATGAGAAGTCAGAATCCGACACTTGTTTTTGTCCGCACATGGCTCGCCCACTTCCGTCTGCGCCTCTTTCCCGCACTGCGCAGTTTTGGTAAGCTCACAAGCGAACCCTAGCCAAAATGAGTAAAAAACAAACATCGCTGCAGAGCTTCTTTGAAAATAGAGAAAGACCCAATGGTGACCCCCCCCCCTCCAGTCCGTGAAAAAATTGTCTTCCACGAAACCAGTCCCTGGTACCAAAAAGGTTGAGGACCGCTCCTCTTAACCACTCACCCTCTAAACCCCAAAACCACTAAAACCATAACCCTTTACAACCCTAACCCTCTCATACCATAATAAAGGTTTGTTGGGTTAGATTGTGTAAATATAAATGTGTCGTTAAACCCGCCACCATCCGACAATTAGTGAATCTTTATTTGAAGCTTTCATGACTGCAGGAATCCACACTCTTTGGTTCTTTCGGTAAAGTCACGTAGTTACAAATAAAATAAATCACGACGTTTCGATCGCAACACAAGCGGTCGTCATCAGGCAAAGGAGTCAGCCTCTAAAGGCAAACTGTTTATAAGGGTTTGGAATGGGCCTAGCCCAAGTGTATCAACAGCACCGGGAGCATGGGTGGTGCACAAGTGCCAATGCAGCAACAATGCCAATGTCGCAACAATGCCAATGCAGCAACAATGCCAATGCAGCAACAATGCCAATGCAGCAGCAATGTGAATGTAGCAGCAATGCGAATGCAGCAACAATGCCAATGCAGTGGGTGAGAGAGCTGCCGTGGCAAGAGGTTATATAGGTAAGAAAGGGGGAGAGGAGCAAGGGGGGAGAGAGAGAGAGGGGGGGAGTAGGAAGATGGGGGGGGCGTGAGCGCTAAGGGGATAGAGGACGTGAAGCCTGTGGGGGGGGGGGGGGGGGGGGGGAAGTGGGCGGGGATTCAAGTGGGAGGCTGGGAACGCTGGGGATGCAGGGGGAAATTAACATGGAAAAATAGACCAGTACCCGGCAGATATGATGGAACAACCATAAACAATGAAGGTTTTACCTGGTTAATAACATCCTTCCAATGATTGCTAAATTTGTATCCATCTTCTCGGTTGAAGTTATGTCTATATTTATAAATCTGTATGGCTTCATGAACAAACCTTTGGTAGTAGCCCGAAGGTTTGCAGAGTACCTTGGTTTCGGAAAAAAACAATATCATGCGAGCCCACAACGTGAAAACAAGGGTCAGCCACGGCAGAGGTATTGGTTCTGCCGTGTTTCATATCTATCTTGTGTTCGCGAATACGGTCCGAGACATGTCGTTTCGTTTCCTCAATGTAGCTGCTACCGCAGGTACAAGTCAGTTTGTAGACTCCAGATGGGATTAGATCATGGATTAAGAAGGTACTCCACTTCGGCCAATCGTTTCCACTATCAACTCACCTACCTACAAACTGGCCCGTTTTCTGTCTGATACCTTGCTTTCATTCATTGGCAAGACTACCTTAGCAGTACGTAACAGCTCACTTGGTCTCTCTAATAAAGGGCATTTCACTGTCCCCAGATTATTTACTCGTCAGCTTTGATGTAGTTTCTCTGTTGTTCAAGGTTCCTGTACCTGACACTTTAGCAATAATTGAAGATTTAGTCCAACATGGACTGAATCTTGATGTACCTACTGTGGTTAGGCACTGCCTTACCAACACTTACTTCACCTGGAATGGTACTTTCTACAAACAAAATGAAGGTACCCCCATGGGTTCTTCCTCATCACCAGTGATAGCGAATGTTTTCCTGGAGAAATTTGAAACAAATGCCATCCAGACATCCACCCTACGCCCTTCCTTGTGGAAGAGATATGTAGATGACACTTTCGTCATTTGGCCACATGGCCTGCCATCATTGAACCAATTTCTCAACCACATCAATTCCATACACCCATCCATCAAATTCACCATGGCAGTGGAGAAGGATGGTAAGCTACCATTCCTGTATGTTTTGTTTGAGAAGAGACCTGACAGCTCGTTGGGACACTGTCTATAGGAAAGCCACCCACACATATTCCTTTCTGAAACCTGATTCCCACCACCATCCGGCACAGAATAATTCCCTCATCAAAACACTACACCATAGGGCCCACTGCATTTCCGACCAACACCACCTAGCCAGTGAACTGGAACACGTACACCAGGCCCTCAAGATTAATGGGTACTCGGACCGCATTATTCGCAAAGCTGTTTCTCCAACCATGGAGAAACAACCCCCTGAGAAGCCAATCAAAACCATCACGTTACCATACATAGCAGGTGTTACCAAAAAGATTTCCAAAATCTTAAAACAAACACAAGATCCAGGTCCAATTCAATACAGTACACAAAATCCGTGATCTAATCCCATCTGGAGTCTACAAACTGATTTGTACCTGCGGTAGCAGTTACATTGGGGAAACGAAACAACATGTCTCGGACCGTGTTCATGAACACAAGGCAGATCTGAAACACGTCAGAACCAATACCTCTGCCGTGGCTGAACATTGTTATAATGCTGTGGGCTCGCATGATATTGTTTCTTCCGAGACCAAGGTACTCCTGCAAACCTTCGGGCTACTATCAAAGGTTTGTTCATGAAGCCATCCAGATATATAAACATAGATATAACTTCAACCGAGAAGATGGATACAAATTGAGCAATTATTGGAAGGATGCTATTAACCAGGTAAAACCTTAATTGTTCATGATTGTTCTATTATATCTGCCGGGTACTGGTCTATTTTTCCGAGTTATTTCCCCCCGCATCCCCAGCGTTCCCAGCCTCCCACTTGCAGCCCCACCCACTTCCTTCCCAGCTTCACGTCCTCTCTCCCCTTAGCGCTCATGCAGCACCCCCTCATCCCCGTACCCCCCCCCCTCTCTCTCTCTCCCCTTGCTCCTCTCCTCTTTCTTACCTACATAACATATTGCCACAGCAGCTCTCTCACCCACTGCATTGGCATTGTTGCTGCATTGGCATTGTTGCTACATTGGCATTGTTACTGCATGGATATTGTTGCTGCATGAGCATTATTGCTGCATGGGCATTGTTGCTGCATTGGCACTCGTGCACCGCCCATGCTCCTGGTGCTGTTGATACACTTGGGCTACGCCCATCCCCAAACCCTTATAAACTGTCTGCGTTTAGAGGCTGACTCCTTTGCCTGATGACGACTGCTTGTGTTGCGATCGAAACGTCGTGATTTGTTTTATTTTATTTCTAATTATGTGACTTTACCGAACGAACCAAAGACCAATTAGTAAAGTTTGTCACGTGAACAAAAAGTGCCAATTCGTTTCTCCTTTTGCACACCGGTGTGTTGGAGACTAACCCAAAAAAACCTTTATTATGGATAATATTAGTTGTGAAAGTCTGGGTGTTAAATCCTCTACACTCCTAACCCCTAAACCTCATGACCCTATAAATCTCTAACCCTCAAAACCCCTAAACTTCGAAAACCCAAATCTCCTAAACCCCAAACATCTAAACACCTAAACTTATAACCTTCTAAAATCCAAACCCTCCAAACCAACAAACATCTAACAATCAAAACCCATAAACTCTCTAAACTTCTTAAACACCTAATTCTCTAAACTCATAACCTTCTAAACCCTAACCCAATGAACTCCTAACCCTCTAAACCCCTCACCCTCTAAGCACCTATACCATAAAACCCTAAACCTCTGAACCCCTAAACTAAACCCCTAAAACCCCCTAAACTCTAAAACCTATAACCTTCTAAACTTCTAACCCTCTAAACCACTAAACTTCTACATATCGAAACCCATAAAGCCTCTAAACCTTTAAACACCTAACTATCTAAATCTCTTAACCCATAATATTCTAAACCCTAACCTTCTAAAACCCTAACCCTCTGAACCCCTAACCCTTGAAGTCCCTAAACCCCTAAAACAATAGCCATCTAAACACCTAACCCTCTAAACCCCTTACCCTTTAAACCCCTCCCTCTAAACCCTTAAACCCATCATCCTCTAAACCTGTCAACCCATAAACTCTTAGTCCAATAAATATCGAACCCTCTAAACTTCCAACCCTCTAAACCCATCACCCTTTAAACCCCTAAATCCCTATACCCCTAAACCCCTAACCCTCTTAAACCACTAACCCTCTGTGTGGAGTATGTTGGGTAGTGGGTATCACGCTGTGGGTGGGTGCAGGGTGTGTGTGGTGGGTGAGGGTGTGTGTGGTGGGTGGAGGGTATCACAGGTTGGGTGGGTGCAAGGTGTGTGTGGTGGGTGCAGGGTGTGGGTGGTGGGTGGAGGGTATCACGGACTGGGTGGGTGCAGGTGTGTGGTGCGTGCAGGGTGTGTGTGGTGGGTGCAGGGTGAGTGTGGTGGGTGCAGGGTGTGAGTGGTGGATGCGGGGTATCACGGACTGGATGGGTGCAGGGTGTGGGTGGTGGGTGGGGGTATCACGGACTGGGTGGGTGCAGGGTGTGTATGGTGGGTGCAGGGTGTGGGTCGTGGATGCAGGGTGTGTGTGGTGGGTGCAGGGTGTGGGTGGTGGGTGGAGGGTATTACAGGGTGGGTGGGTGCAGGGTGAGTGTTGTGAGTGTGGTAAAAGTGATCATGGTTCACACCGATCCACCACCTCCACCTGGTGGGTGCAGGGTGAGTGTGGTGGGTGCAGGGTGAGTGTGGTGGGTGCAGGGTGAGTGTGGTGGGTGCAGGGTGAGTGTGGTGGGTGCAGGGTGAGTGTGGTGGGTGCAGGGTGTGTGTGGTGGGTGCAGGGTGAGTGTGGTGGGTGCAGGGTGAGTGTGGTGGGTGCAGGGTGAGTGTGGTGGGTGCAGGGTGAGTGTGGTGGGTGCAGGGTGAGTGTGGTGGGTGCAGGGTGAGTGTGGTGGGTGCAGGGTGAGTGTGGTGGGTGCAGGGTGAGTGTGGTGGGTGCAGGGTGAGTGTGGTGGGTGCAGGGTGAGTGTGGTGGGTGCAGGGTGAGTGTGGTGGGTGCAGGGTGAGTGTGGTGGGTGCAGGGTGAGTGTGGTGGGTGCAGGGTGAGTGTGGTGGGTGCGGGGTATCACGGACTGGGTGGGTGCAGGGTGTGGGTGGTGGGTGGAGGGTATCACAGGGTGGGTGGGTGCAGGGTGTGGGTGGTGGGTGGAGGGTATCACAGGTTGGGTGGGTGCAGGGTGTGTGTGGTTGGTGCAGGGTGTGTGTGGTGGGTGCAGGTGTGTGAGTGGTGGGTGGGGGTATCACGGACTGGGTGGGTGCAGGGTGTGTATGGTGGGTGCAGGGTGTGGGTGGTGGGTGCAGGGTGTGGGTGGTGGGTGGAGGGTATTCCAGGGTGGGTGGGTGCAGGGTGAGTGTTGTGAGTGTGGTGAGTGTGGTAAAAGTGATCATGGTTCACACCGATCCACCACCTCCACCTGGTGGGTGCAGGGTGAGTGTGGTGGGTGCAGGGTGAGTGTGGTGGGTGCAGGGTGAGTGTGGTGGGTGGAGGGTATTACAGGGTGGGTGGGTGCAGGGTGAGTGTTGTGAGTGTGGTGAGTGTGGTAAAAGTGATCAGGGTTCACACTGATCCACCACCTCCACCACCCCTACTGTGCAGTGGACCGGCCACCACAAAGCAGCACACGTCGGAGGAGTGAGCGGATGGCTCTCCCTATGCGGGCCAGGCTCCCTTGCTTCCTCTTTTCCTGCTGTACCACCAACTCCTCCACCAGGGTCTCCTGTACCACCAACTCCTCCACCAGCGTCTCCTTCTGTACCACCAACTCCTCCACCAAGGTCTCCTCCTGTACCACCAACTCCTCCACCAGGGTCTCCTCCTGTACCACCAACTCCTCCACCAGGGTCTCCTCTTGTACCACCAACTCCTCCACCAGGGTCTCCTGTACCATCAACTCCTCCACCAAGGTCTCCTGCTGTACCACCAACTCCTCCACCAGGGTCTCCTGCTGTACCACCAACTCCTCCACCAACGTCTCCTCCTGTACCACCAACTCCTCCACCAGGGTCTCCTGTACCACCAACTCCTCCACCAGGGTCTCCTCCTGTACCACCAACTCCTCCACCAAGGTCTCCTGCTGTACCACCAACTCCTCCACCAGGGTCTCCTCCTGTACCACCAACTCCTCTACCAGGGTCTCCTGTACCACCATCTCCTCCACCAGGGTCTCCTCAAGTACCACCAACTCCTCCACGAGGGTCTCCTGCTGTACCACCAACTCCTCCACCAGCGTCTCAAGTACCACCAACTCCTCTACCAGAGTCTCCTCTTCCTCCAGCACCACCAGCTCCTCCACCATGGTCTCTTCCTCCACAACCTTCAACTTCTCTTTAGAGGCCTGGGCGAGCAAGGAGGTTGGGCGCTGTGCCAGCTCCACTCTGTGAAGAGATGCGCACGACACCGTTCCAACTTCCTGCTCCAGCAGAAATCAGTCCCCCCCATCCCCCCCATCGTCTATGGGTGGACTAACTGTGTGCCGCAGAAGATTAACCCAGCTAATTAACAGTGCCGCAATAATGCAGCATACCTTTGCCCACCGTGAGTCTGGTTACAAAATGGGCATTAGTCTGGCGGTGTCTCAGTGGATGAAGGGCAACTTGGGAAATATGTTGCCGCTTCATTATCGGTCCTCACCCAGAAACCAATTATGGAAAAATAAATCCGTATATAACCGAATCTACACGTTCTCTTTGGCTGGAACTCACAGCCAGAGAGGACCTGGGTTTGATTCCCATACGTGGGCCACTTTCTCTGTGTGGAATGTGGAGTGTGTTCTACCAACCACCCTACCCTGCCCGCCCCCCCCCCCCCCCTGCATGGGTTTCCAGAATCAGAATCTTTCTTTAAACTGGATGAAGAGGAGTCTGATGAGCTATGAAGCTCTTCTTTCACAGATGTCCAGTCAAGTCACAGGGTCAGCAGGTTATAACAACAAACAAAACAAAAGGAGTCCAAAGTATACTAAAAAAATAAAGCGTATAAATACAAATGGCATAAGTAAATAAAATCCTGTCAGTTGTTCAACACTAAATGCAAGCTTGGGCAACGCAGCGAAACAGCAACAAAAACAGCCTCACACCACACCAAGACAACACGATCCTTCAATAAAATTGCACATTAAAATTTCACTTCCATTCCTCTGGATTTGGCAACTGAACCCTCACAAACACGCCGTGCAACCAGTGTTGGATGGACATCTTCACCAGTGTTGTAAATTGAACCTCCAAATCACTCAATTGGGATCGTACAGCAGCAGTACATTTGTTCTGTACTGCAATCACTTGGCAGGACCCTCCTGAAAAAAGTCTTGAGACTGAGTGAGGCTATTGCTGGCTAAATAAGTGTAGAAGTAGTAGCAATAAAGATAAATCAATATTAAACACCCCCGGGTACGCTGTACGGGGGGTGACCACCCCGGGCCCCGCGCTTTGGGGGGCCCTGCGGTTCCATGTCACGGTGTCAGACGTAATACTTCCGTTTAACACGTAGGCTATCGCTCCGGATTGGCTCACAAGTGATGACATCACATTTATCGCTCTATTTAAGACTGAAAGAGGAGGATTTCTTCGCTATTCGTAAGCACACACCGTGTAACTTGCCCCAGGACCCGCACCCCCCTATAGACTGCCTTGACCACTGGACAAGCAGATGGTGGCTTACCGTCGCTTAGCAGCTCCAGAGCGCTTCACACTGCCAGGAGCAGCAGCGGTGGTGGTGGTGGTGGCTTTGCTGGCCGTGGTGGTGCTGGTGGCCGCGGTCCGGAGCCAGTTATGAGCCAGCGCCTGCGCTGGCGTCATACGACAATTCGGATCCCATCTGTTGAGAGATGCATGGGAGACACACGCGGCCACGTGGTGAGAGAGGCATGGTGAGAGCTCTGATGTTCCTTCCCTTCTCCCACGAGGTCCAGGAACGCACAGCAGCAGCGGAAGCCACAGTAGCAGTGGCAGTCCTCTGATGCCCAGCAGCGGCTTGGACAGACCTCCCACTCCTCCATAAGAGAGCTAACTCCACAGAGGGCCAGTGGTACCACTTATTGGCAGGTCCACTCAGCTCCACATCTTCCTGGTGATCGGTGGAGAGCGGTCGCCAATCAATTGGAGGGGGGAATCCTCGTGGGGAGGGGGTGGGAGTGGTGGGTGGTTCTTACCGCAAACAGGAGCTGATGAATTTGACAAACTCCGGGTCATCGCTTTTGAGCACCCTGTGAAGTGGGAAGCTCCCCGGAACCCTTTTCTTGCCTGGGCAGAACATCTTCCCCCGATGGTCTGCAGGAGCCATGCACAGCGGAAGAGACGAAGTCACCAACCACCACATAGCCCATCTACCCACTTACTGACCGATTCATCAACCCACTCATCCACCTACCCACCCATACACTCTTCCACCTACCCAATCGCTCACTCACCTATCCACCTACCCACGCACCCACCCACTCATCTACCCACCCACTCACCCACCCACCCACCCTCTCACTGATCCACTCACCCACCCACTCACCTATTCGCCCAATAACCCACCAACCTACTCGCCTACTCACCCACATACCCATCCACTTGCCCACACACCCATTTACCCACCCACACACCCAAGTAATGTAAAAAACAAAGACGCCCCCTCCAAAACTAAATAACAACAGCCTGAGGCCACTCCCTAAAACTGAATCCGGTCTGTCATTCACCCCACGCTTCAACTCACCAAAGAACTGCGTTCTGTCGGGTGCTCCATTCACCATGTACCTTGGAGGCATCCCCAGAATCTGCACATGGTTGACATGAAGACAAAGGTCACCCGTATAGCTTCGGCACACTGTCGGGACAAGTGCTGTCAGATCGAGTAGCAAAATTAGCAGCGTTTGTTGAGGGCCAGCACTGTGGCACACAGAGACAGGAGTGGCGGCTGATTTCAGCCGCATCATCTCTACATAACAAAAAGGCTCAGTCCCTTTTACACGCACCTTTACATCATCCGCACCTAGTTTACACAACAAAGGCTCATTCCTAACAGCGTGCTTCAGCCGCACCGAACATCACAAAAATAATATTCAGGGCCTACCTTGGCTCCTCCCACCCTCAACCAGTATATATACAAGGACTGTTTCTTGGAATTTCTCTCACTTGATACAGCTATCGTGCTGTGAATGTTCCACCTGAAGACGGAGGCTTGTGTTGCCTCCGAAACGTCGTGATTTTTATTTTATTTTTATTTAACTTTTATTAATTTTTTATTTTTTACCTACGTGACTTTACCGAAAAAACCTAAGAATATGAATCCTTGCAGTCACGAAAGCTTCAAATCTAGAATTGACCCAGGTACTTTACACACTCCACCAGGTACTCAGTTGAGGCTGTCTCGAACTAGAGGAGGCCCAGGACCAGTTCAGACAATCGTCACTGGTGTTGCCCATGAGCTAGAATCAAACTCAGTTTCTAGCACAGCAGGCTGACCGCTACACTACCGCTCCCCCACACAAACAAGACACACACGTGTACACGCAACATACGACGGCCGGTATTCACAGATCACCAATTGGCCACCCCCCCTCCTGCCACCACCATAGCCCACGACTCCAAGGAAAGAGAGGGAGATCACGAGCGGACAGACGCCGTGTGGGAAATACCTCTATGCAGCGCGGGAGGTGATCTTCGTGGCTGTTGGACCGGAATAATTCCCTGCCCGTCGCCAACTCCGCCACCGTGCAGCCCAGCGCCCACATATCCACTCCACATGTCAAGCTATAGCCCAGCAACAGCTCCGGAGCCAAGTATTCTAGGGTGCCACCAACATTCATAGCTGTACAAAAATCACAAGGACAACAAACATATGTGCGTGTGTACACACTGTGTCTTAAACAGCATCATCATCATGCACATAAACAGTCACATTTACAGACACTCAGATACTCACACACAGACACACTCAGACAGACACTGACATATAGACACTCACACGGACGCAGCGAGACCCATGCATAAAGACAGCCATACAGACACCCACACGCAGACACTCACACACCCAGGTGAGGTCACTCACGTTGACTTTCCACGAAAAAGCTCGTGCCAAAGTCCGTGATCCTCACGGTGCCAGTCACGGTGTCTTTGACGAGAACATTTTCCTGGAGGAGGGGTAGAATGAAATCAAACTCAGAGGTTATGCCGATGTCATTCAGCCAGCAGTGGATCAATCATATACCACGACACACGCTAAACAGGGGAACTAGATGAGGCATAGCCCTGTCGACAAGCGTCAGTCAAGTGCAATATTCACTGTTTTCTGACAGCTGTCACTGGGCGTTGCCCCTTTCAAATATGTCAAAATTGTAAATGTGAGTAGAGGCGTGTCACGTTCAAAGCACTCTCAGGCACCATCAAAGTGAAGGGGGGTGGCTCTATTGACAACCGATTGCCGTTGCTCCAACAGGAGAGCTGCATGGAGCTCAGCTGGATGAGTGCCCGTTAACGAGTTAGAGACAAAAAGCCACGCACAAGAGAGTGCACGGATTCCGTGACGCTTTCCACTGCACCTTTGTCTTTGGACGTTTTTAATTTGTAGATTGGAATTCGATAACGAGCAGTTGTCAGGCCAAAATGCACATTTCGCACGTTTTGAAAAAAAATATTTTTTACTCCATTTCATGTCTCCCAGGGTTTGGGGCAATGCTGATCAACGTTGCCGGTTTTCTCTCTGGTGAGTCCCCAAGAGCGACACGACTCTACACGATAGTTTAATTCATACCAGATCATCGTCACCAGAGGTAGCATGACCCTGCCTCCTTCCAGTGAGATGGGCAGAGCTTACATATCGACCCTGTGACCAACATGGCCGGTTTTTTCTGTGGAACGAGTCCCCAATAAAGATACACCTCTGCAATCTTAATTTGTAGCTTTCGTGACTGCAGGAATTACTCTTTGGTTCTTTCGGTAAAGTCACGTATAAAGCTTGCGTACTTTGTCACCCGTCGTCCTACTCATTGACATGCAAATTTTTTCTCTAACCCCTCCCTCTCTCCGCCCCCACCTCCCTCTCTCTATTTAAGGCCTCGTCACAGAGACGTTCTCTCTCTGTGTGCCGATGTGTGTTCTCTCTCTATGTATCTTTGCGATATCTGTCTGCTTATATGTCTGTCTATAGTTTTCTGGTTAGATTTTTGTTGCTATTTCTTTTATACCTGATGATGATTGCTTGTGTTGCAATCGAAACGTCGTCGTATGCTATTATTTAATTTATTATTTTATCTTTATACGTGACTTTACCGAAAGAACCAAAGAGTGATACACCTCTGCACCAAAGTGAAAGCTGAACGCTGTGTCCACTCACAGGCTTGATGTCCGCGTGGACGATTTTCCTGGAATGTATGTGGCGCAAGAACTTGAGGATGCCCCTGGTGTAGGTTTTCACCATCGCCATGTCCAACCGTCGGAGCCCCGCATTCCTAATCACTTCATGAAGGCTCTCCCTGTGAGAGGCAGAAGCAGCAACAAAAACACGGCATCAGTACCATCCCCTACAATGCTGCACTGATTCTGATAACGATAATCATGTTCATATTGTACGTTCATGTGCACGTTTATGACCAATATTAAGAGTTATAGTTCTGTGTGGGTTGAGGTCGTCAATTTGCCCATAAACCAAATCAGTTGGCATATCTGCCCACTTGACAACTTGATTTCATTGGCTTTGTTGCCGGGTAGTGGAGGGTTATCCATTGGGAGAAGATAAAAACTCACAGGGATTTTCGCCGAGAGGCACAAGCATCACCACTGCCATGCAGCCACCCTGCTGATTGAGTGGAGGCGTGGGTTGGTGAAAGTGGCAGGGCTAATGGAGGAAAGACAAGTGGCCTCCAATGCACCCGTGGCACATGGCAGCTCCACAGGATTACAATGCATGGGTGGTGGCGTGGGCATCTCAACATTAACAGCTTACTCTTTGGTTCTTTCGGTAAAGTCACGTATAAAGATAAAATAATAAATTTAATAATAGCATACTACGACGTTTCGATTGCAACACAAGCAATCATCATCAGGTATAAATGAAATGAAATAGCAACAAAAATGTAACCAGAAAACTATAGACAGACATATAAGCAGACAGATATCACCAAGATACATATGTTTGTCTATAGTTTTATGGTTAGATTTTTGTTGCTATTTTATTTATACCTGATGATGATTGCTTGTGTTGCAATCAAAACGTCGTAGTATGCTATTATTTAATTTATTATTTTATCTTTATACGTGACTTTACCGAAAGAACCAAAGAGTAATTCCTGCAGTCACGAAAGCTCCAAAATTAAGAATTAACAGCTTGCCGCGGTGGCGAGATGACATCTCCCCTGCCTGGTATGGAGGAGGTCCTAGGTTTGATCCCGACCGTGATGCCTGTAGATTTGGAGTTTGCATGTTCTCCCCGTGGGCATGTGAATTTTTCTGTGGGTCCACTGGTTTTCCCCTCCACATTTATAATCAAAATGCTACTTTTAGATTTAAAGCTTTCGTGACTACAGGGATTCATCTTCTTGGTTCTTTCGGTAAAGTCACGTAGAAGGGAAGTAATAAAATAATAAAAATAAAACATAATAAAATAATTCTCACGACGTTTCGGCCACAACGCAAGTAGCCGTCCTCAGGTGAAGAACAGGTCTGTCGGGAAGACATATGAACAGGTCTGTCGGGAAGACAGACTCTGTCTCCCCGACAGACCTGTTCTTCACCTGAGGACGGCTACTTGCGTTGTGGCCGAAACGTCGTGAGAATTATTTTATTATGTTTTATTTTTATTATTTTATTATTTCCATTCTACGTGACTTTACCGAAAGAACCAAGAAGAAAAATGCTACTTTGTTAAGCTTTTATTTGTGGTCTGGTCGCTTCTAAAAAGTTAAGTTAGTTAACCACGTTATTGGCGGAGGGGGGGGGGGGGCATGCAGTACATACTTCAACAGCTCCATGACGATACAGTAGTGTCCTCTGAAATGAAATATGTTCAGGACTTTGATGACGTTGAAATCTTCATCACTGCCCTCGTCCTGAAGTTCCAGAGCTATCTGGAGCTCCATCTTCTGGTATGTTTCTTGCTTGGAGCTGCACAGAGGAAGTCCACAAATGAAGAGCCTACATTTACTTAAGGGATATCCAGAGCCAAATTCTACTTACAATAAAATAATTAAATATGAATTCACCAGGTCTAACAGCACCAGGAGTTCCAGTAGCACACTCGACTAACATTGGTTAGGAGCTCCCACAGAGGGAGCAGGAGCCGGTGTAGGGCACCCAATAGGATTTGAAAGTGAAGAACCATTCAAATCGGATTGGTCATTTGAGAAATCTAAATGCAAACTCATGTTAACACAACGCATTAATTCTAGCTTTGAAGCTTTCGTGACTGCAAGGATTCATATTCTTAGGTTTTTTCGGTAAAGTCACGTAGGTAAAAAATTCAAATTAATAAAAGTAAAATAAAAATAAAATAAAAATCACGACGTTTTGGAGGCAACACAAGCCTCCGTCTTCAGGTGGAACCGTCACAGCCACGACAGCTGTATCAAGTAAATGAGAGATTACAAGAGCTACCACTCCGTATATATAATGGTTGAAGAGGGGAAGGGCCAAGTACGGCACACTTTTTATTAATATGGTAAGGTGAGGCTTAAGACTAAGAATAGACGTGACTTTACCGAAAAAACCTAAGAATATGAACACAACGCATTCTCACTTTAATGTGCCTCTTCCATTCGGGCACACTTTTCGCATAACGCGGAATGTGCCCGTAATAACACAAACGCGCCCATTGCAACACGGAACGCTTCACGTTATAACGTAGAACACGCCTGTTAAAAAACGAAACCCGCCCGTTATAACACGATCTGTGAGTAGTCGACAACAAACTACTTTCTTGAGCTGCAATGATACATTACTCGCAATGATAAAGTAACGTAACGGCATACCCTCAGTCATTGGTCTCGTCATCTCAAGGTGTATGAGTGCATTGTATCTCGCCAACCATTATTATTACATTATTTATAGGAAAATTATTTTCGCTCAATACTTTTTTACTGAACGCTGAACTTTTAAGGAATGTATCTACAGCATTAAATGAGGAATTACCGTAATGTGCAGGTAATCTTTCAGCAATGGGATGTTTTGCCCCAATATTAGTTTACACTGTGTGTGTATTTTAAGCTTTAGGGAGGAAAAATCTGAGAACCCAGAAGGAACTGATGCAGAACAGGGGTAGAACATGCAGACTCCATACAGCAGAGCACCCGAATCAGGAGTCGAACCCAGGCCCCCCTTCTCGCTTTGATGTACGAGTGTCACCGCTGCATCGCACGGCTGCCCGTGGCAACGGACTTAACAACAACATCGGCCTCGTGACGGCGCGGCTCTGAAGTCTTACCTCGATGGTGACACCAGGATCTTGATGGCCACCAGGATGTTTCGTTTGTGATCAAGGCACTGGATAACCTGGCCTTGACCTCCTTCTCCAATCTTCTTCAGCACCTCATAGCGATAGCGGAGGTGCTCATGCCGGAACTGCACAAAAGGTACAATCATTTAAAGTGAATATAATTAAAATCACAAAGTTTAAGAAGTGAAAATGTATATTCTTTGGGATATGCAAATTCCTTTGTCAAGGCGCTCTTCCCCCTCCAACCCAGATTAAATATACGCTGCCAAGCCTGGTGGTGTTCATTCAGACGGTGTCTCCCCGACAGACCTGTTCTTCACCTGAGGACGGCTGCTTGCGTTGTGGCCGAAACGTCGTGAGAATTATTTTATTATGTTTTATTTTTATTATTTCCATTCTACGTGACTTTACCGAAAGAACCAAGAAGATGAAACAGCTTAACAGCCCATTGGATTTCCTGCAGTATAGATACTTCTGATTCTACTGGGCACGTGTTAACAAACAGCTTCACAGCCCATCGGATTTCCTGCGTCATTCAGACGCTGTCTTTCTGACAGACCTGTTCTTCACCTGAGGACGGCTGCTTGCGTTGTGGCTGAAACGTCGTGAGAATTGTATTTTATTATGTTTTATTTTTATTATTTTATTATGTTTTATTTGTATTATTTTATTATGTTTTATTTTTATTATTTTATTATGTTGTATTTTTATTATTTTATTATTTCCATTCTACGTGACTTTACCGAAAGAACCAAGAAGATCTTTCGGTAAAGTCACGTACATAGATTGAAAGAAAATAACTAAAAACTAAAAACAATCAAAGGGTTGCCGGGTGAAAATTTTTATGTTAATGACAGATTAGTATGTTACTGGAATATCGCAGAGCCACAACCGAGAGGTCATCACGCAAAGTGGCTGTGTTAGTGTGAAAGCGCAAGTTTGAAATGGGCAAAAAGCACAACTATCATCAGAAGGTGGTAGGATGGGAAGATCATAGCCAGTTGTGACTTAAACTGGTTGATAACGTCCTTCCAATGATTACTCAGTTTGTACCCATCTTCTCGGTTTAAATTGTGTCTGTGTCGATAAAAATGGATGGCTTCATGAATGAATCTTTGTTGATAGCCAGTGGGCTTGCAAAGTACCTTCGTCTTAGAGAAATACATTTCATGTGAGCCCACTGCATTAAAACAATGATCAGCCACGGCTGAGGTATTGGTCCTACCGTGTTTCAGATCCTACCTAGTTTCGGATCTGCCTAATGTTCACGAACATAAGGCAGATCTGAAACTGTCGGGTTGGCTGCCCACCACTTGCATTAATATTGGCTGCTGACATTTGGGCTATGCCCATTTCAAACCCTAATAAACAGTTTGCCTTTGGAAGCTAACCCCCATTTTCCTGAAGTCGACCGATTTTGTTGCGATTGAAACGTTGTAGTTTTAGTTTTTATTTTCTTTGAACCTATCTACGTGACTTTACCGAAAGACCCAAAGAATATGAATTCCTGCAGTCATGAAAGCTTTAAGTCAAGATTTAAGTGAGAATGTAATTTTCTAATATATTTTCTGTAATGATTACGTTTTTTTAAATCTGTCATTGTGGAATGTTCTGATGTCTGCTGGCTCAGTCACCCTTCAAAATAGAGCTTCTTAGCTCAATGGGATTTACTCGCGATAAAAATATTTTGATTCTGAAGTGCATTGGTGTGTGTGATAGCCCTGGTTGGTACTTCAGGTGCAATGACAAGAAGCCACAAACCACGCTACCGATGGGCCCTGTGACCGCCCCCACAGCTGGTGTTTTGTTACGAGCCTCACCAGAATGTAATTTCGTTCGTAGTCGTCGTATCCATCATTGTTGAATCCCTGAGATTTGTTGAAAAGTGCAAAGTACCACACTTCCTGCATGGCTGCGAGTTCTAGCTTCTCACGGTTGGTCAAGTGAGGGCCAAAGAGAGCCATGATTTCTGCAGACATGAGAATAACGACAACAGCTGTGTGATCCCAAAGTTGAGCAATTTGTAGGAAAATATTACAGGATTGGGATGTTTTGGCCAATACCAGTTATGTCTGTATGTATGTTGAACTTCTTTTGCACCGTACGTAGCCAATGGTGCCAAATGGATACGCAGGGGAAGGACAATAAACTAAACATGAAAAGTTCTAAAGAAAGTAGTTTTCAATCTAGATGATTTAAAAGTGTATAACTCCAATGGCTTCCTAATATCGGAAGTGCATCTGAAAGCGTGTGATGTGCTGAGGCCAGAGCACAGATAATCATCCCCATGCAACATGGCCACCATGATGCAGTCCCCCATGCAACATGGCTACCATTAAGTCCCGCATGCAACACTGCCAACATGAAGTCCCTCATGCAACGTGGCCACCTGGATATCACCCATGCATCATGGCCGCTATGAAATCTCCAATGCATCATGGCCACTGTGACATCCACCATGCAACATGACCATTGTGATGTTCCACCATTCACCATGGCCCTCTGTGACATCCCTCATTACTGTCTTTACCTTGCGGTGATTTGCTGCAGATGGAGGCGGTGCCCTCTGAGGACAGCGCACTCCACGTGGTGCAAGATTCGCCCTTACTCCTCGCCTCTCCAGCTCGGCTCATCTACACACACACAAAGACAAAGGTCCACCACGTAAACTTTAGCAAGATGTTGGTGAAAGTGCAGGAGGCGAGCACTGAGCCAGGATCTCTGAGATCCTGGGCTCCACAAACAGGAGGGTCCTGCCAAGATGTTGTGTCAGTTCTCAGCGTTGGGATATTTGGACAATATCTGATGTCACACTTGGATTTACAATGAGACACGTGTGGATTTATAGGACACACAGGTTAATGGCATCCTTCAAACTGATAAGAGAAGTGGGGCTGGGCCAGGACATGCCACGGCCAGGAGGAACAACGATGGCCGATGGTCAAGAAAAATAACGGAGCTGCAGCCAAGTATCGGAGCACGTTTGAGAGGACAGCTTCCAGAAAGATGGAGCGACAAAATCGGTGCTTGGTGGATTATGCCATTGCAGGATCGTGAGCGGTAGCAGGAATTCAGGGAAGGAGTCCTTCATCCAGTAGTGGATAGATAAAAGTACTGTAGATTATTCACATGTAGACAGGCAGGTACACAGACAGGATCTCAGGGGAGATACTCTGATAGATGCACACACTCAGGCAGGCAAGTAGATGTACACTGAGGTATATGGATAGGCGACAGGTCGCCACACGCAGAGTGGAGAGCACACGTCCATCAATACTTCACCACACGAGTCGAAGAGCCACACGTACCTCCATGGTAGCAACTTGCAGAGCAGGGTGCACAGAACTCACAGCGTCTCTCGCACAGTCCGGGTCTCTGCGTGCGGAGCAGGAGACGAAGGCGAGGATCACAAAGAGTCGAGGGGGCGTGAGGGCTCCCAGATCTCAACACGAGTCACAACGCGGGCTTACATCCGCACCATGAACCCACATCATCAACACAGACTCACATCATCACCACTTACATCACGTAATACAAAAACAACAACAACAACCGACATTCGCCACTAAGTAGGGGTGATGACACCACGGCGCCTGTGCCGGGCCAGGTGCACTTTTAGTCCACGTGAAGTGTCGAAGGCTGACAAGACGTCACGGGATAGACCCAGGTTCCAAAGGTTGGCTGAGATGACTGGTAGATACACCAGCTGTATCCCCAACTGTGCCAACTTGTTGAATTGTATCCGCTACTCGTTGTGAGCGTCACTCCTATGTCCTCAGTTGTTGTTGGAAGGCGACTGCCTCCTACTGCCCGGTAGGATCCTTCACGAGCTTCCTCGTGAAGGATGCTATCCACACCACTGATACCAGTCTTCTGCAAGTCCACTCAGCTCCACATCCTCCCATACAGCATCAGTCCATATTTTGACAGCCCATGTCGTGCCCGTTTAGCCCCCTTTATGCAACCAAAATAAACTGCTTGGGTATGCCGGAGGAACTTACTGGTGGGAATGTCTCCAGATCTTTCAAGTATTTGTGAGCCCCTCACACAATCCAGCCTGGTTAAACCCAGGATGGATCGTACAATCAACAACACCACCAACAACACCACCATCAACACCACCAACACCAACAAGACTATCACCACCATCAATACCATAACCAAAAACATCACCACACCACCCCCATCAACATCACCTCCATCAACACCACTAACACTACCACAACCAACACCACCACCAAGACCACCACCACCAACACGACCACCAACACACCACAATCAACAACACCACCATCAACACCACCAACACCAACAATACCACCACCATCAACACCACCAACACCACCACCAACACAACAACCACCAACAACACCACCATCAACACCACCATCACTAACAATAAAACCACCATCAACATCACCACCACCAACACCACCACCAAGAACACCACCACCAACAACACCACCATCACAAACACCCCAACACGACCACCATAACCACCAACAACACCACCATCACAAACAACACCACCAAGACCACCACCATCAACACCACCAACACCAACAATACCACCACCATCAACACCAACAACACCACCACCACTAACAACAAAGATAAAGATCCCCCTTATAGCTGAAATAGACTGTTGGGGCAAGTGCTGTTAGCCAGCAGTACCTATGAAGGGCAGAACGGCACACGAGGGGGTGGGTGGCCAGCACCACGCCCGGCCGCCTTTGTGTTTACACACACACAGACTCACACACACACAGACTCACACACACACACAGACTCACACACACACACAGACTCACACACACAGACTCACACACACAGACTCACACACACACACAGACTCACTCACACAGACTCACACACACACAGACTCACACACACACAGACTCACACACACACAGACTCACTTACACACACAGACTCACTCACACACACAGACTCACACACACACAGACTCACACACACAGACTCACACACACAGACTCACACACAGACTCACACACAGACTCACACACACACACAGACTCACACACACACAGACTTACACACACAGACTCACACACACACAGACTCACACACACACAGACTCACACACACACAGACTCACACACACACAGACTCACACAGACTCACACACACACAGACTCACACCATTTCTCACCTTCGCCAGATGCTCCCCCCGACTCTCTAACGGACAAACTGCCTGAGGGAGACACGAGGGGGCGGTACCAAGTAACCACGCCCACTATGACGTCGCAGACCTAAGCCCCTCCCCCCACCGGAGCCCCTCCCCCCCACCGGAGCCCCTCCCCCCCATGCCCAACCCCTCGCCCCGCCCCTTCACCCCCTCGCCCCGCCCCTCCCCCCGCTGCTACTTCCGCTGAGGCCGGGGCGAGTGGAGGCGGCGCTGTGCATTGTGGGTGGCGAGCGGACGGTTTGGATTCCCCGCTCGCGGCCACCGTCGGCGGCTCGCTGGCTGGGCCTCCTCTAGGTCGACTCAGCCCGAACAAGGCGAGCACCTTGCACGCTGTGGACGCAGCAGCAGTGGCGGTGGTGGGGGGGGGCAGAGGAGGGCGCCTGCTGAGTTCACGGCCCTGCTGCTGCTGCTGATGATGAGGAGAGGCACTGCCAGATTGTGGCTGATTGGGATGAGTTACATTTAGTTGTTTGTGTCTCTGGAGGGGCGGATTTGTTGTCGTGGCAGAAATGGCCTCGACTAGAGGCCGCGATGTGAGTGTTTGGTCTACTCTTCCACGCTGGGCGTGCCCGCACTTTACCCCGATACACACGCGGGGCGTGAGCTCACTGGGCTTGCAATGCAGAGGTGCAGGTTCGAGTCCATTTCACACTCAGCCACTCGGCCACTCACTCAGTCACTCAAACTCACCTACTCAGCCACTCACCCACTCAGCCAATCACTCAGCCAACTCAACCACCCACTCAGCCACTCACTCACCCACTCAGCCACTCACTCAGCCACTCACTCAGTCACTCACTCACCCACTCAGCCACTCACTCACCCACTCAGCCACTCACTCAGCACTCACTCAGCCACTCACCCACAGAGGGATAACGACCTTCATGCAGTGGTTGTGTAGTATCTGCGTCAACGTTTTGTTGTTTGGTTATGGTGGTGGCTATGGTGGTGGTTATGGTGGTGGTTGGGTGGTGGTTATGGTGGTGGTTATGGTGG